TGCTTCTTATTCCCTGTACCTTTTCCCCCATTTTCTTTCCTCCCTGTCCCCACTGATAACCTTCCATGTGATCTCCATTTCTGTGATTCTGTTCTGTTCTAGTTGTTTGCTTAGTTTGTTTTTGTTTTTTAGGTTCAGTTGTTGATAGTTGTGAGTATGTTGTCATTTTACTGTTCACAGTTTTGACTTTCTTCTTTTTTTTAGATGAGTTCCTTTAACATTTACTATAAGGGCTTGGTGATGATGAACTCCTTTAACTTGACCTTGTCTGGGAAGCACTTCCATTGTAAATGATAGTTTTGCTTGATAGAGCAATCTTGGATGTAGATCCTTGGCTTTCATGACTTTGAATACTTCTTTCTAGCCTCTTTTTGACTATAAGGTCAAAAAGAAAGCTAAGGTCCCATAGGACTTTCAGCTGATTTCTTTTGAGAAATGAGAAATCAGATGAGAAATCAGCTGACAGTCTTATGGGAACTCCTTTGTAGGTAACTGTCTCCTTTCTTCTTGTTGCTTTTAAGGTTCTCTCCTTAACTTCCTTGGGCCCAACTTTTTTGGGACTCTCTGGGCTTCCTGGACTTTCTGAAAGTCTATTTTCTCTGCCATATTGGGGAAGTTTTCCTTGATTATTTGTTCAAATAACTTTTTAATTTCTTGCTCTTCCTTTTTTTCTTCTGGCACCCCTACGATTCATATGATGGAATGTCTAAAGTTGTCCCAGAAGTTCCTAAGCCTCTCCTAATTTTTTGAATTCTTATTTTTTCATTCCAGTTGAATGTTTATTTCTTATTTTTCTTCCAAATCATTGCTTTGAGTCCTGGTTTACTTCCCTTCATTGTTGGTTCCCTATATATTTCTCCTCGTTTCACTTTGTATAGCCTTTACTTCTTCCTTTATTTTCTAAATCTGCTAAAGTTGAACATAAAGTCGTATATATATTCTATGATGCATATAGTCAAGGAAAAATATGGGCCCTATGCATGCATCAAGACTCTACAACATTGAATAACAGAAGATGTAAAAGAATATGTAGTTTCATTTATATAAATTTCAAACAGGTAAAAATGTGAACTATAATGTTGAAGTCAGAGTGTTAATATGAGGTTGTTAACCTCCCCCCAAATTGGAATTATCCTCTGGGTGGCTGCCTCGTGTAGTAGGCTTCCCCCACCAGGTGAGTGTTCTAAGAACCCATGTGCATCAGTGCACCAGCTGGCTTGTTATGAGAGGCTGCATTCAGCCTCAGTGAATTTTGTTTGAAGACTCTTTCATCGCCTTTGCGAATTTCATGATGGGCGATTTACGAGCACGCCTGCCCACACTGTGCTGAGTGTTCAGCAGTTTCTGACCAAAAACGGGATGATCCTGTGCTCCACCCTCCCTATTCACCCAATCTCACCCCCCAGTGTCTTTATTTTTGTTGTTACTGCTCTGGGTGAAAAAAGTCCTGAAAGGGACCATTTTGCCGATGTGGAAGAGCAGGAACAAAAAACAGCAGAAGCTCTAAAAGGTATCAAAATCCAAGAGTTCAAAGACTGTTTTGAGTAGTGGAAATAATGTCTTGTTAGGTGTATTGCATGAAATGGAGGGTAGCGGGGGAGGGTGCTGAAGTTTAAATGTAAGAATAAATATACAATTTTTTATAAATAAATTCTGGAGGTTTTTGTTCTCCCCCACCCCAGTATATTAGTTGCAAATGGAGTAAATAGTGACTGAATGATGGGCGTTTTCTTTGTGGTAATTTTTTGAGCTATACATTCATGTTTTAAGTACATTTCTCTTTGTATGTTTTATTTCACTATTTAAGATGTTCAGCAAAGTAAGAGAGTCTGACCTAGATTCATATCATGTGAGGCTGCATATCTCAGCTTTGTTGCTTTCCAGCTGTATAAATTTGGGAAATATATTTAACAGCTCTAAGCCTGAATTTCCTATGTATAATGTCAAGATAATAAACATGTTTTGTAAGAATTATTATAAAGATGAGATAACTCTTGGAATTTTTGCTAAGATATTAAGCACTGAAAACAACAGCTGGCACATAGTAAGTCTGACTCATTGCTAATTCCTGCTATTGTTATTATTGTTGATGTCATTGCCAGTGTATTTGATCAAAGGTATTTTAAGGTTCTCTTGGAATTACATTATATTTATAAATCCATCGTGAGTATCCATGTAGGTGGGTTTTTATTAAGGTCTCAGAAAAATTTATTTTATTCACTGTCTATGTTACTTCATAAGTTAATCATTTTATTGGTATATTTTATATATGTATATATTTTGCAATTGTATGTAGAATTTTTTTTGCTTTGTATTTTTTAATTGTCCATGTAGTATGTATGTTGCCTATAATGGCATACAGAAGCTGACACTTGGTAGGACTAACTGCTGCCAGACATGGTTCTAAGTGGTACATGGATTAACACTTTGAATCCTGTGTAAAACCCTCATTTGCCAAAGGTAGGAACTAAGAACAGGGATTAAAGCCAGCTAGCTCATGGTCTGGGGTTCAGTGTGGCCCCAGAGTGCACATTTGCCCCACTGCTCTATGCCAGAAAGCTGCTCTTTTTTAAAAATTATTTGGTAACTGGCTACTTTTGCTTTATCTAATATTTATTTATTTATTTTTAGTTTTTTTAAGATTTTATTTATTTATATTTAGAGAGGGGGAGGAAAGAAGAGAGGGAGAGAAACATCAATGTGTGGTTCTTCTTTTGCACCCCCTACTGGGGACCTGGCCTGCAACCCAGGCATGTGCCCCACTGGAAATCAAACCAGTGACCCTTTGGTTCCCCGGCTGGCACTCAATCCACTGAGGCATGCCAGCCAGGGCTCCTTAATCTGATTTTTAGTTAATTTTCCTAGATTTTAAAAAAGCCAGTTATATCATTTACAGGTAATTATTTTTCGTATACTATTCAGTAATTCTTGTTCTCGCTTTGATCTTAACTTTCAGAGAAGTGTTTATAAAAATAATAGTGTAGACATTCTTCTTTGAATCTAAATGGAAATGCCTCTATTTTTCAACCACTTAGAAACACTGACTCTTGACTGGAGAGTGTTTTCTTTATGTTAAAGATGTGCTTTTTAATTACTGAGTTTACCAAATGGATTTTGATATATTTATTATGTTTTGTTTTCAAAAGTAAAAAACACACCCCTAACATAAATTAGGGATGGCTTTTAGACTGTATAAAATGTCTTTGTGTATCTATGCAGATGGTCAAGTCTTTTCTGTGTTGAACTATTAATGTAATGAGTTATATTAATATATAGCCTAACATTGAATCATCTTTGCATTTCTAGAACTTTCAACATGTTGAATTATATTTGCTAAAATTTCTATAAGATTTCAGTATATATAAGTACAAGTGAAAATGGTCTGTAGTTCTCTGCTATTTTTGTCAGGTTTTGGCATTGGGTGAATTCTAGCTACGTAAGGGAATCTGGATGGTTTCTGTCTTGTCACTCATGTATATGACTATTTAAAAATAAGTTTTGAGTACATTTTCTGGTATGGCTGCTTAATACTCTTGTCTCTTGTGTTTTTGTTTTCATTAACAGTGTTAGGTTTTTGTTTTTGTTTTTTTTTACTAATTATGGAAATCTTCAAACATAAACAAAAGTAGAGTTAGTATCACTTTGTCCCTGTCTTACCTTACTTTGTTTTTCTCTGGAGTGTTTTGAGCCTTGCTACTTAAAACATGGTTTGAGGTTTAGCAGCAGGGGTATTGCCAGGGGATTTGCTACGGATGCTATTGGTTATAGGCAAATCACATGTTCTGGCCCCACTGTTGCTTTAGATTTTAAACTATCTTTAATAATGTTGTTCTGAGATGTTTAAATACTTTATTTTGTCATGTATGGTACATACTTTTTCACCCAAATTTTTTAGATTAAAATAAGGATGCACATTATCCATGGGTAGTACTAATTCCATACATATAAATGTTTTTAATTTTTATTTATGCTTAAAAATGTTGAAAGTGTAACTCTAGAAAGCAATTGCAATATCTGTATGCAAAATAATACCCTGGAATACGATCATCAGTTTTGTTTGTAAATGTAAGTAAAAATTTGAAAGATTTTTTTCCTAAAAGTTTGGGCCAAAAATGTGGCTACGCATTACACATGGCAAAATACAGTAAGTCTTTGAACTTTTAGTTTGTCTCGAGTTCTGGAAAGGAGCTACAAAGTCAAAGGATATAAACTTTTAAAAGCCTTTGATGACTATTGTCTAATTGCTTTTCAGAAAACCAGCACCTCTCTGGGTTATGTGGTAGCAAATGGAACACTTGACAGTTCATGAATGTGCCTGTTCCACCAACCAGAGATAATTAAATAATGAGAACATGGGAAAGAAGTCAAGAATAATTATAAAGTCTTATCGTAAATAATTTGAGTGATTGGTAACAGAAAGCCTGAAGGTTATTTCAATTAAGTTCCTGAAAATTTTATGTACTCATTTATTTATTTTTAGAGAGAGGAAGGGAGGGAGAGGAGAGGGAGATCAATGTGTGGTTGCCTCTCGAGCACCCCCAACTGGTGGCCCGGCCTGCAACCCAGGCATGTGCCCTAGACTGGGAATCCAACTGGCAGCCCTTTGGTTGCCAGTCTGGCACTTAATCCACTGAGCCACACCAGCCAGGGCGATTTGAATTAATTTTTGACAGTCTAAAACTGTTTGGTCAACTTACCGTTTTTTACTAAATCTTACTCCATGTGTATTTGTCATGGGATTTTTGGGTACCTAATAGTGTTAGTTACTGTGAGTGAAAGGAAAGAAATATGCCAGTTTCTTTGTTTTTATAAGGCTTATAGGATTTTTATTACTTTGTTTATAGTTCTTTCATATTTCTACAAAATATAACTTCAATTTGTAGAGGTTCATATAGCCTTTCACATTGCCTGGGTTTTCTATGGGTTGAAGAAATGTGAAAGTCTTCCTAGGTGTAACTTCTATCAAGATGAAAACAACGTTGGCTTTTCCTTTGTTTTAGCAACAGCGCACTGTCTACAGACTGACTCTTGTTAAAGCCTGGAATGTGGATGAGCTCCAAGCCTATGCTGAGCTGGTGTCTCTAGGGAGTCCTGACTTCATCGAAGTGAAGGTAAGTCCCTGCTGGCCACTGCTGTGCACTTGTCTATGATGCTTTGTTGACCATCCTACAGTTAAAAAGTCTTTAAACTTCTACAGGAGATCCCAGATGTTTTATTTATTCATTCAGAAATATTAGAAATATTAATCAAGAATCCGGGCCTCATGTAGTCATGGAGCAGTGGTAAAGGCCAAGCATTTGTTCTTACAAAGCTAATATTTCAGTGAGAGGTAGGCAGTCGACACAAACTGAGTGATTAAAACTATGTACAGCTGACTCTTGAGTGGTGTGGAATTAGGAGCACGCTTGAAATTTTGTGTATAACTTTTGACTCCCTAAAAGCTTAATTACTAATGGCCTACTATGACCAGGGCCTTACCAATAACATAATCAGTTAATTAACATACGTTTTGTGTGTTATATGTATCATACACTGCACTCTTACAGTCAAGGAAGCTGAAGGGAAGAAAATTTTATAATAAGGAAGAGAAAGTCACTTATAGTAATTATTGAAAAAAAATTGCCTATAAGTGGACCTTTACAGTTCAGACCTGTACTATTTAAGGCTAACTGTAGTAACATTAATATGCAAAGATGTAAGCATGTTATAGTGAGTAATTGGTTGGTTTTTAAATAAGTTTTTATTATGGAAAACTTCAAATATACAAGAAATGGAGACATTGCCTAATGAACCCATCCCCAAGCTCCAGAAATGACCAACTCATGTTTCAGCTATATTTCTACCCATTTTCTTGCTCTTACTGTATCGTTTCAAAGCAAAGCCTACATAATATCATTGATCCATAACTGTTTAGCTATATAACTATTAGGGATATACAGTTAAAGATATACACTCATTTTTAAACACTTATTCAGAATTCTGTTCTCATAACTAAACAATTTTAATGGTAATTTTTAAGTATTGGAACATATAAGATTTCAAACTGGCCCAGCTATTTCAACAGTATTTTTGAACCTGGATCTAAATAAGAGCCATTCATTGTGATTAGATTCTTTTTCTCTTAAATTTCTTTTAATCTAATCCCTCTTCCATGTTTCTGCCTCCTTGTAATTTATTTTGTTGAAGAAAATGATTATTTATTCTGGCTATTTCCTCATATTTATATTTTAGATTCTGCTAATTGCGTTTTGCTTTGCTTTCTATATTCCCTGCAGATTAGTAGTTAAATCATGAGAAGATTAATCAAATTTGTTTGTGTGTGTGTGTGTTTGCATTTCAAGATTATTCCATTGGTGGTATTTTATATTTCCAGTAAAGGGCTTATGTCTGGTTGTCTATGTCATGCTTTTGCCAGTGTTTCTTTGGGATGGATTCCTGTAAGTGGATTGATGTATCAAGAGTAAGTGCATGGCCCTGGCTGGTGTAGCTCAGTGGATTGACCACGGGCCTGTGAACCAGAGGATCGCGGTTTGATTCCCAGTCAGGGCACATGCCTGGGTTGCAGGCAGGCCAGGTCCCCTGTAGGGGACACATGAGAGGCAACCACACATTGATGTTTCTCTCCCTCTCTCCTTCCCTTCCCCTCTAAAGATAAATAAAATCTTTTTTTAAAAAGTAAGTGCATGTATTGGTTTGCTAGATATTATGTTTGTCTTTTCTGGATTTCATAAGCTAGAAGGATTTTCTGAGAAGATAACTTTCTCAACACTGGTAACGGAAATGCTAAGAAGATAATAAGCAAAGGCTCGGAGTCAGCGGGTTCTGGCAGATGGCGCAGATAGTACACAGAGGCCCTGCGTGATTCCTGGGGGGCAGTTGGAGTTGGCGGGGAGAGAAGATGAAACAGAGGTGGGCTGGCGTTAGGCCTTTCAAGCAAGGATAAGAGAATCGGATTTTATACCAACTGCCACGGTAAGCTTTTCTGTATACCAAGTATACTTCTAAGGGTTTTAAGCTGGAGAGTGATGTGATCTAATTTATGATTTTAAAACGTCACCTTGCTGCTGTCATGAGTAGATTATGGAGGGCAATCATAGAAGTAGGCAGACCAGTTATGAAGTCATTGCTTAATCCAAGCAAGAGATGTGATGGTTTGGGCAAGGTCATTGGTAATATGGTTGGAGAAGAGTGTTCATTTGGGATAAGTTTTGGAAGTAGAGCCAACAGAACTTATTGCTAGATCATATGCAGGGAGTGACAGAACGAAAGGAATCAAGAATGGCACCAGATACGTAGCTTAAACAGTTGCTGGACGTGGAACAGTTTACTGAGGTGGAAAGATCGGAGCAGGAGGGAAGTAAGTCTGGGAAGTAATTTCACACATTCTGTGTTGGCCTCATTAAATTGGAGGTATTTTTAAAATATCCAAATATAGGCTCAAACAGGCCATAGCCATGTCAGTGTGGAGGTCAGGGGTCAGACAGGTTGGCAATAATGATTTGGGGGTCATCAGCATGAGAGGGTCGTTAAGGCCGTGGAGTGGGAGGAGGCGTGTGGCTTTCTTGGACAACGGACAATCCACCAGATGAGAGAAAGGGACCAGAAAATTTACCCCATCTCTGAAAGCTCCACTTTTCAGTTAATATTTATGAAGGTGAATGTATTCTGTAGTGAATTGGAGGCTATTTCAGAGTTTTACGGCTCTCTTTTAGTAAGTTCAGCTCTCCGTCTTACTGGACTCTGGAGGGTGGGAAGTGGGAACAGGTGGAAGAAATACCGCTGTCGAGTGTGTGGCGTTTTATCTGTAGTCAGGTCAAAGACACGTTTTTCTTTGAAATTGCTCTTTAACGAAGCAAAGATACAAACTGCATCCGAAGTATATATGTTGGCTTAAGTGAACCTTTCCAACATAGGAGATTAATGGTGTTTTAATTTATGATTTAGCTATTAAAGAATGCTGTCTCAAATTTTGTTGCAGTAAAACCTCTGTTATAAAGCAATTTGGCTGGGTCACATGGCCATCTATTTAAATTTTTCTTCTTTTATTTTCTTTCATATATTCTATAATGAATGAAATGTTTTGTAATCTGAAAAGAATCAACCAATTTATTTCTTAAAGAGAGATGGCTACTGTGTAAACAGTGTAATTCTTTAAAAAAGAAAAAAGATTTTAGCCCTGGTTGGTGTGGCTCAGTAGGCTGAATGCCTACCTGTGAACGAGAGGTCGTTGGTTCGATTCTTGGTCAGGGCACAGGCCTGGATTGTGGGCCAGGTCCCTGGCTGGGGGCATGTGAGAGACAGCCAATCTATGTTTCTCTCATACATCAGTGTTTCTCTCCCTTTTTTTCTCTCTACCTTTCCCTCTCTGTAAAAATAAATAAAATCTTTTAAAGAAAAGATTTTACAGTCATACCATGGCGCTCATTCGCTTCAGTACGCATTAAACCCTGTACACCACATTTTGACAAGAGAAAAAGTGTTTCAGCACTCGGCTCTTGCTCAGGACTTGCCATTCTTGCTAGAACTTGTGTGAGCCATGATGTGCCCTGCAAGAGAAAATGCTTCATCGTTCGGTACTTGTCAGTTTTGGCACTCATCACGAGTTCCAGATTGAATTAACAATGAGCACTGAGGTACCACTGTATTTATTTGTTTTTAGAGAAATGGGAAGGGAGGGAGGAAGAGAGGGAGAGAAACATCAATGTGAGAGAAAAACGTCAATTGACTGCCTCTTGTATGCACCCGACCAGGGGCCGACCCTGCAACCCAGGCATGTGCCCTGACCTGGAATCAAATCAAGGAGCTTTCACTTTGCTGGATGATGCCCAACCAACCGAGCCACATCAGTCAGGGCAACAGTGTAATTCTTTGAGGATTATTTTTTTGTTGGGCAAATTATGAACATAACTAGGAAATATATAAAACCTTCTGTCTGTGCCTGAGATATTATAACGACATAGTTTCTTTGAAACAGTATTTCTATTTTGCTATTTTATCCCTGCATTCAACAAATATTCTGAGTTCTCTCCATGTGCCAGGTCTTGTCAAAGCAAGCAGACACAAAATTTAATATAGATATACCATTTAGCAAATGGATGTCTTATGGAACAAGGCAAAGTCTACAAAAGTAAGAGAACTACACTGATTTTATTTTTAAATGCTTGGAGAAGTGTGTAATCTAATGATAATTGTAAATGTCTTATTTAAATGGTAGGCCATGTAGCAGATACTAGTTTGTGTTGTATCAGGGAAAACCTGGTGACGATCAGCGTGTCTCGTGCAGAGGATGTGCAGGGTCGCCTCGACGTGCGTGGGCTGCTGGGCACTGATGGGCTCACACTGTGAAATCCAGCTCTCGTTTGTCTGACGGGTTAACAAATGTCTTCCTTTCAAACTGAAGTAGGAAAAGAGATGTTCACCGAATATAGTATGCTATTTAGAAACAGATCAGGTTATAAAATGATATTTATTATTTGATTACATTTTGACCGTGTATGTTGAGATCTATTTATATAAGTATGGAAGGACATGTACTAGATTGTTAACAGTGTTCTGTTTGATACAAGGGGAAGGAAAGGCTTAATTTTTATACCTCTGTGCTGTGATATTTTAGTGAGCATATATTGCTTTTTATAATTCAGATGATTGAAATGAAACCAGTAAATGGAGAAGGCATACTTTCCTGTTCAGTAAGGTTAAACTATTTAATGTCTGAAAAGGCAAGCTATTGTTTTATTAGTTAAAGTTAAAATTTTCTGAAACAGAGTTTTAAACCCTCTCCAGAAAACATTCGAAGAGAGCAAGCAATGTGGCAGGCTAAGATGACCTTAACGTCCTCCAGAACCCAGCAGACAGAAGTAAATACATTATGATCAACACACTTCTGAGAACACAGCCAATCGGAGAAGTAGTGAGGTCTCTAAGGGGATTCCTTAGGGGTAGAAGAAGAGAGACCACCCTGGTGGTACTCCATGGCTCTGGCAGAGACAGGGCTGAGGTTTAAAGGACCAAAGACGAGTCCCTTTTCACTTCGGTGAAAGGCTGAATTAGAACAGAAATTTACCCACTGACATGGAATGGCACTTGGAGACTTGTCCCTTACCGATGCTGT